ACGTAGTGTGGATTAAAATGAATTATGAAGATGTATACCAAAAGGAAAAGTTCCTACGTGTCCACCTTATTTGTCGTGTTAGTAAGAAACATCCTTACTAAAAACCTCCAAGTGCTAGCACAGAGATACTGATACACAGAGACTGATATTTTTGGACAACAAAATCTTCTGTATTTTAGGATGGTTAGATATCTGCTATCTTTGGTGAACATAAAACTTCTCCCATTGCTTGTTTATACTTACAAACATTAACAATGAAGCAAAAAATTGTTCATAGCCTACCTGGAACTGACTGCTGAGAACAGCTGAGTCAAAACCCCATTAATAGCAGTGTAATGAGAACGGTGACCTTATTCTCAGTGGAATGGTTTATCTATAATCAGACACACCTTCCTAAAATGTTTTCACAATTAATTTATAGGAAACTGGTTATCACCTAAAATAAAGCACTCTCCTCCGTTGCCTAAATCAAGAAACACGGTGACCAGAACTTCCCCCTCACAGTAGCTGCAGTCACTCTTCAGGATCTAATTCATTTTAATAGATCAATTCATAGCACTCTGTTTTGGTAGAAGGGCTATTGCAGGAGCTGAATTGCTGAGAGACAGTGAAGTGGCAGCTGGACACTTGACCTCTGCTGGAACTATATGGCCTTAATCAACAAAAAGTCTGAATGAACTGTGAAAGTACTCTATTTTCTTGACTTGTTCCCCGCCTTCCTGTCTCTCATGTTAAGTCATCTGTTCTTTATTGAGACACTGATTTATTATATGCTCAGGATGGAAAACTTTATACAACTTCTATCCACATATTGGATTAAACAGTGATGCATTGGAGTTTCTCTTCAATGTCCAAGTACAAGAGGAATAGGGGTGGGAGGTGAGAGGTGTCCATCATAACTCCTGAGGACTAATCTGTTCAAAATGAACAGAGCTACAAATCCTGATTAGATCATATGGTGGTAAGGTTCTAGAAATGTTCAACAGGATAAACACAAAAGTTTGTTGCTAGCTAGAGCTTAGAAAAGGCCACTCAACAAAATTCACAGAGCTATCCTGGGCTGAAATATGAACAAAGAGAATCAACCAGGATGGCATGAAACATGGGCATAAAGAATTAACCATATTTCTCTCCAAGTTCAGGTGCCATTCATTATGAGATGTTACAGATGTTGTCCAGGAAAGGGAGTCTGGCAAGCAGGAAGATATTAGACTAATCTGATACCAAGAGCAGGTTCTTCAGGGTGCTTACTCATGTGTGGAAAGAATTTGAGATGGAGAAAACAGCTACCAAAAGTAATTTCTATTTCTAGAACATAGAGATGATCCTATTCAAGTTCACACACAACAATTGCTTTCTTCCAATCATTGTATTAGGCCTGCACAAGAACCGAATCTATCACATTGTAGTCACAGATGGGAAGTTACCTCTGAGTTGAGACATGCCTCATTATAGACTTCTTTTAACTTCCCTTCAACTAGCATTCCACACCTGTTTTCCTTCCCATACATAGAATCTTCACAGATAACCACTATGTATATTTTACCCTTTGTTACTAATCACAGAATGTGTGAAGGGGGCGCTGGGGGTCACGTAATCAAATTGCCACACTCAAAGCAGTCACCTATTCCAACTGCCACACTAAAAGAAGGATGTGTAGAGATGGTTGTTATACACATACTTCAGCCCTCTTCTCCCTCCAGTTTCCCCATTCTTTTGTAATTCAGCATTGCTCCTTTAACACCCCATACATGTTCATTAAAGACTAGTTTGGTCATTCTTGTGAGGATTACCCAACCCATCAACAAAGCAGTAAGTGAAAATCATGATAGATAAGTAGATAGATGATAGATAGATAGATAGATAAGTAGATAGATGATAGATAGATAGATAGATAGATAGATAGATAGATAGATAGACAGACAGATAGAGATATTCATATACAATTTATTTCTTCCACAAGTAATAGGCAACTTTGTTTTTGATAAGGACAAGTCCTGACCATGGAGCCAGCATCTGCAAAGCCCTGCTTCATAACGAGGCAGAGTTTGCAACCTAATGTCATCTTCCTTAGGTGATATCTACATCTATATATGCTGTGGATCATCAGCTCACCTTTCTTATATGATGTACTGTTATAATGTTCATTCAATCTTATGAGTTATTAGTGAGATAGATCACAAAAGTAAGGCTCTTGAGTAGTGTATGATAGCACAGTGCTTTCCAGAGGGGGGAAAAAAAAAAAAAAAAAAAAAAAAAAAAAGGAGAGAGAGAGAGAAGGCAAAGATGTAATTTACAAAAGAATCACTTGCGAAAAAAAAAAAAAAAAACAGTTCTCTGTGTGCGCCTATGGAAGCCAATGATCTTATCCCTGGCCATTTACACCTCCAGAGAAGTAATCTACAGGGCTTTAATCAATATCCTTAAAAGACAACATACTGGGAAGTCATCCTTATTTCTTATCTAATTCTTCTCACAATAGTTAGCTCAGAAGCAAAGC